CYYYTTTTTCTTACAGAACGGTTTACACAGTATGGCCCTAAAAACCTTAGACAAGCATGGAATAAGTGAGTATTTTTTTAATTGCATTTTTGACTCTTCAAGGGTATGCTGAAGTTATCATTTCTAACTTGAATGGCTCTATTATTTAAAAATAAGCCAGATTTTAATTGCCAGTTACTTGTAAATAGGAMGAAACTGCATAGCATTGTGTTTCCTTGGGGGTGTTAATTGACAAGTGGATTGAGCTCATGGAGAAATGCCATGTTGTTGCTTTGGGCCATAAATTTTGAATCTTGTTTTCTCTGTTCATCTATAAAAATTAGGAAACTTTTAAATAATATGTTTCTAATCCACTTTTGAGTGTTGTTTCCACATGATCATCCCCTGTTGCCTGGTCCATCTGGTAATTTCTGGGAGCTGCTGACCATACTGTTGTAATCTTAATTACCATGAATGAAAACAGTCAGTGTAAATTCACCACACTTTTTTTTTTTTTCCTTTTGAATGTTTCCTGAGTTTGGTCACATTTATATCAGATGGACATTGATATAAAGGTATTATTCTCAAAGTCCAGGAAGGTTACCTGATGAGCATTAAGACAGAGTACCACTCCACTGGCATTCTTCTAAGTATTCATCTGTGGAAAGTTTGCTTGAAGATTTCTCATCACACACAGAATCATTGTAGACAGGATAATTGGACCACACTGTCCTGAGCTTTTATATTTTGAAGAAAGCAWACAGAGTTTGAGTCGGATGATTGCAGCTACATCAACTTGTCTTGCCAGAAAAATTGTTAGAATTTTTCTCCACTTTCTTTAGAACAAAAATTTTGCAACAAGGCTAAGCCTTGCTATTTTCTTTCTGGTACTAATTAAAAAATTTATTTTTGCCACTAACTGGCTGTCTTGTTGGTAGTTTACCAGGGAGTTCAACAGATAAATCAGCAGCAGACTGTAACTTCTCCAAGTTCCCCACTGAAATTGAAGATACCAAATGTTTTGATGAAGAAGCTTCCTTGTTGTAAAGAAACAAAGTTATTGATAGAGTAGAAATACAAATGCTTTTCCCATATCTTAGTTTATTAGCCGTGAAGGGTGTCTACAACTGCAAAATCCATAGCATGGTCACTTTTTCAAAGTGTGATTAGGTTTMTATTCATTTTGCTGTTCTATTACTTTTTTTTCTATCTGCTTCTTCCCAAACCCATTTGGTCCAGTGTTTTGGATTGAAATACAAATTGATTTTTTGTTTAAAGAAACAAAGAGACAATCCAATGACTTTCAAAATTGTGATTGACTGAAGGAGGAGGAATCTCTTTATGTAGCAGGATTGTTGTTAAAATTAGGTGTTAGTTGTTGAATGTGATRCCATCAATATTTGTCCTTTGAGTCAAAAGTTGTACTTCTGTAGTGCCAGGCATCTTCCATGATCCTGCAGCTGGCTTTGCAGTACTCCTGGATCCTTCCTGGTTAGCAGTACCTTCCCAATTCCTGCAATGAGAAATAAAGCTGGCACTGCAACCACTTCAGGCCTCCACAAAGGTTAAGTGTCACCAGCCTGCATTGATGACTTTTTAACAGTCCATAGAAAAGCTCCTGGCCTGACCAGTTCAGTCTAGGAGCCTGATTTGGAGGATGTCATGGATAAGTACATCCCCTGTTTACTGCAGATGGAACAGGAAGATTAATTTCACTTATGTTTGACTTTTGTAAATATCTCAAACCATTTTGCCTGTTGTGATGCTTGCAGGCATCTTAAAATGCTTGACTCTATGTAAATCTTACTGCTTGGAATACAATTCAATTTTGTGAAAGTCACAGCTTTCCTTTTAAAAATTAAGTCACTATAATTGCATGTATTTTTTCCTTTAGCAATCAAAAAACTTGCAAGTTCTTTTTTTCTTTAAAAGTAGTTAATGAAATCCAAAAGCTTGGAAGAAGCAATTATATTACAACATAGGCAATTAGATCTGGATTGGGAAAGGACAAGGAAACTAATATTGATTCAAATGTGTTTGCTTTGAGGCATATATTTGTGTAAGTAATGTGAATAATACCAGTGTGCTATTCCATCCATCCTGCAGGCTGGGGCTGAAGTGTTCTTTCTGTATTTTAACAGCAGTTAGACTATTAAATATAGCAGTTATGTATTAATAAGTACAATAATTGGCTGGAACTTGAAAAGGTGCTATCTTATATTTCCTTCGAGACCATTGCCTGAAATTTCTCTTTTCATAAAATACAAAAAAATGGAAGAACAAAACCCAAAAATGGAAGAACAAAACCCACTTTGCTTAAAACAGCCTCAGTCTCTGAGATTTCATAATTGACACAAGTTCTGATCACATCACAGGCTTGACTCAAATAAGACTGGAGCTTTTTAAATTCTATAAAATCTCTTCAAAAATATTTATACATTTTCAATGCTCTGTGCATAAAGGATTTGCAATTTTTCAGCATAAATGAAGGGATTGAAAAACCAAAAGCAATGACAATACATAGAGTTCGGTGCTTTATATGTGTATTTCTACTATAATAGGAAATACTCAGTGCCTCAAAATTAYGTATCATTTACATTTGAAATGTAAAGGGCTTTCTCTTTTTCCAGTGTAAATCTTTATCTGTGTGCTGTATTAGAGTGCTGTTTGCTTGCACAGCTATAGTTAAGGATGTATAAACATTTCCATTGTAGGCATCACATTCCCAAGGGTTTATAATTCAGCTGTAAAACTTAACACATGGATAGACTGATTCATTCCAGAAATTTGCTTTCTTATCATGTTTCAAAAAGCAGCAATCTCCAGTCTTAAATTAAAAAAGTTAAACTTTTTAACTTCCTGATTTAATTTGTGGAAGRTTTTTGATGATACAAAATATGTCACATATATAATTGTTTTAAGGCAATGAACATGATACCTGAAATAGGGAGARAAACATACAGCCTTTTGTTTTTAAATATGCATTGGTTTTGGTACAGACTTACTTCCTTTCAACATCTTGGTACCTCTGAAAGGTACACCTTAAAGAACAATGTTTATGGTCTTGTAAGGATTTACATGTATGCCTAAACTTTTCTTAAGGTGAAGTCCCATTACTGCATTTTATAGGGGAGGAATTGAGATACAAAAAAAAAATTAAAGTATTTTCAAACTGCCATAGAAACTGTACAACATTGACACTGAACTTCATGCTCCTGCACTGGAAAAGAACRCTTTTAATTTTCTAAACACAAAAGTTTCACTATCTCTTGTTTCATCTTTCAGGCACAGGCTAATCCTTTGTCTTGTTTTTATATATGTTTTGAGGTCATGGCATGTAAGGGTGAGAATATGTGTTTAGAAGCCTTCAAAGAGGCTTTTACCTCAAAATGTGAATTGTAATTCAATTTATTGGGGGGGGGAGGGAGGGGAGGGGAGGGGCTAGTAGAAGGAAGAATAATACTCTTCCAGTATCTACAGAGCCAGCTTCATGTCTGTAAGGCAGAAGGAAGAGAGTCAAAAAACTCCAATCCCAAACCTTCCAAAAAGTCACAGATAGTAGTTTGAGGGCAGAATAATTGCACCTGACCAACCATATCAGCTTCCACAAGATGATTTTAAAGGCAGAGCAAGACAGTGGAACAATACTGGACACAAGTCAACCGTTCTTTAATTCCCAGCCTAACTAGAAATTAATTAAGAAGTGTGGAATTTAAGAGCAATGACAGAGTGAAATCCAGCGGGGTCACTATCTAAGTCAGATCCCTAAAATTCTTAAAATAGGATTGGTTAATATTAGAGGCTACTTTTTGGGAAGTGTTTGAGGGAAATAATACAACTCTTGCTAACAGTGAACTAAGTTCTTTGGAGACTTTAACACTGAATTTCTTCACTGGCTGTCAAACTACCTAATGATTATAAGGAGAGTATTTATGAGATAAGATGGAATCTATGAGTTTTGTAGTAATACTTATAAAGTTAAGAAACAAAACTCACACTAATGTTTGCTTCTGACTAGTACGAAGCTTCTCCTACATAGCATGACATAACATACTGTGGAATGTAATTATAAAATACTGGTCTAAAAAGATCCAAGATGTGGTAATCTGATCTTCCCATAGAGTTCATAATGAATTATATTTTCACCTTTTTTCCTGAACTTTTCTGTTCAATTATCTCCACACAATAAAAACCAAGAGCAGCTCGGCCTTCAGAATGCAGTGCAACCGCTTTCAATTTGCAAAAGCTTCTCCACAATAATAAACCCTTACAGAAGAATAACAAAAGAGAACTAATTATCCTTGTGTATATTTGGTAGGATATAAAAAGCTTTTTCAGATCCTTCTGCCATAATGGGTTGTATTGTGAGAAATTAGGTTGGAAAGAAAAGGTGCAGTTGAAAACAAATTCTGCTCTGCATAAATAGGACTACTACTCCATAATTCCCCAACATGGCTGTATTTATTATATAAATAACACTTTATTCTCACAGCCAGTCCCACTGCTGAGGATTTCTTCTTTTAACAACATGGCCTCTGTACTTGAGAGCTCCCTTTCTGAGGCCAGGGTGTTTAAAAGTTGCATTCCAGGATGGACTGGCCTATTTTRGGACTGTTATTCAGTGAAAGCTTCCTGGAGAAAGCAAAGTGACTGAATAGTGACGAGTCCATGTAGCGTGAATCTGTATTTTGTTTCAAGCATGGCATAGACTGTGGAACTGCTTAGAGCTGAGACTTGGGAAACATTTTTATTTTGGGGTTCTGTTGTTTSGTTTTTTAAGGAAATCTTTCCTTAGCTGGATTTCGTCTAAAGAAAATCGCTCTTCTAATTATCACTTTTATCCCTTCACTAGCGTTGCTCTTTGTAACATAGTCTGTAGTACCACTGAAGGAATACTCAAGCTCTCCAGCACAATAGAAACAAAAAGCTTTAGTGTTGTCGTTGCCAAAGCTTTCTGATCGATACACCCAAGAAGCAATRAGGATTTCAGGCAGTCCTGGGCAGAGGTGGGCTGGCTGTGTGTTCTGTGTGCCAGCACATCGCAGGGGTGCTGGGACCAGGAGGAGCCACCGATCACACTGCGGGA